TCGCTGGCGGGGGGGGGGGGGGGGGTGGAAAAAAAAGGCTGGAAGTAGAACCTTAATTGCCCACAAATCTTCCTTTTTTTTTTTTTTTCCTGCACATTTTTCATTTTGTAGAAAAGAGACACCACCTTCCATACTTAAGTTTCCTTCAAGAAGCCTCGAGAAGAAAAAGATTTTAGCATAGTCACAAAATATTCAAATGTCCACCTGCAGATCAATGACGATTAAGTTAGGCAAAGTAATTTCATAGCTAGAACTGCCACTTAAGTAACACCTTTAAGGCTCTCTCTCAGCATGTTTTATCATTTGTAATAATGTACCCTGTCATTGACGTAGCGAATCACCAAATTAGCTTTCACAAGTAGAAACACCAAAGTCACGCTGAGAGCAATTCAGAACACACGATAAAATACAGTCATACCTTGTCTTCAGATGGACAGAGATACAAATACTGGAATGTCGCGGTAATATTTTTAGAGAATCTTGGCCCAAAAACATCCTTGTCCGTTCCAAACTGGTGACGAGACTGACGAACAATAGAGTCAATGACATACAATCCAGGGACTTTGTATTCTGGTTTGCACTGGGAACATAAAATAATTTTCCATTATGCAGTGGTACTAAGGTAACATACATGAAAGCATGCACTCTGTACTTACAGTATACTTGCTGGAATAAAACAGTTTTAACTCATCTCTAGAGCTATAAGGACACCAGGAAAGACTATGCCCAGCGTAACACCAAACAGCATGCATGAGGCATTCCCCACCAATTCCCAGATCTGATATTTATGGCAACACCAGAAACAAACAAATAAAAAACTATTTTGAAACACAAGTGTTACCATCTTTTATATGAAAACAAATACTTAAACACACTCAAAAGGCAGCAATAGTTGTTAACACACTGCTGTTATTTCAGGACAACAAGAACTGAACTGTAATACCCTGGTTCACATGCAAATTTCTACAAAGAGATGTTAGACTCAATTTTATCCTAATTAAGAAAAAAATCAGTACAGGGCTTCATTGATGATTTAAAATGATGAATATGTAAGAAAAGCCTCTTAAGAGTCTTAACTTTAAAAAGCTTTCAATTTAACAATAACTTATAAAATCTAGTATTTTCAATAAATCAGAGAAAGAAGCCATGAACAATATGCATTGAAGTATCAGTTACAGCTCTGGATGTTTTCAGTTAAATGGTTTATGAGAAACTTTTGTATCACGTATATGCAATACATGCGTTTTGTTGATAGGAATGGGGGAGAAAAATATAATTTACATTTTGGACAGAGTAAATATATTTATATAACTTATATAGCAGCCTTAGCCTTCTTAATTATTGCTTTTACAACACAGTTTTAGCTCAGCAGTGACAGGTCTACCATAGCTCTGCATTTCTAGACAAATAAGAAAATTTTATTTTCTGAAAACATCTATTATCTTAGCCAATCAAAATTAGTTTGAAGTTCAATATCCTCAGTTTTTCCAGGAAGGATTTTGCATTCAATTTTTTTTCTTCCCTTCTTACTGTATGAAAAACTCAAAATGACGGTATTAGAGCCACGCAAATGAGCAACATTCTAACAAATCAGGATTTCACCCTCCAAATCCTAAATAAACATGGCCTTTTTTTTTTTTCTACTCATTGCTCTGTGAGTAGATACTATTAATAAAGCTAGCTAGTATCTGATCTGTAGATTGTATTTATTTTTACCTTTTTGATAAACTTCTCTACAATCTGGACAACATGCTTGTAGAGCTGGAAAAGAAACAGATGAATTAATTTTTATCACCTACTTAATACTACTGCATCACTTTAGAAATTTTTTAGGTCTTTTTGCTTACTATCAGTTAGGAAGGACTACAAACAGGATATTGTGCTCGTCTTCTAGAAAGAAACACCACACAATTAAGCATTGAGAAAAAGATTTTGTGAGGGAATGGACTGGAAAGTAATTCGTTTTCTTAGAAGTGCTTCAGTGTATACCCTCAAAGCAGTTTCTTTTGTGTATTAGTGACACTTTCTAAGAAAGACTGCCAATATGATGGGATGCAGTTGCATGCTGCAACATTTTACATCTTGTCAGACAGAAATCATAAGACCACAGTGAGAATAGCATTAGAAAGCAATGATTCAAAAAAAAAAAAAAAAAGGAAAAAAAAGCCATCATTATGTTACTACCTGATGTTTGCCGCCCACTAGTCTCTAAATGACATTCTTAAAATCAGCTAAAATAAAACACCCATGAAGCTACAGAGGCTGGAAAATCCAGAAATGCATTTACCTCAGACGTAAAATAATTAAAATATTGCTACTACTACAGTTTCATTTTTGTTTTATTGTACGTTACCTTAATAGCTTTAATGGCAGCTTTTGTGATGAGAATCATTTTTGCTCGGGAAATAGGAGGTTTCATCTCCATGAGTGAAAAGAGCTAAACGGAGAAAACAAGAAATATTAAAAAGCTATCCCAAAGATTGAGCAATTAAGCAAAAAGACAGTATTTCAGACACCTGTTACTGACATTCCACACTACTGCTCAGTGCTGGCCCTAGACATAAAGGGACCAACCAGCAGAGCTTTCTAGGTAACGTTCAAATCTGTTGCAAGTGTCTTTAACTGAGCTATTTACTATTTAGCTTGCTATTAGCATACTATGTTGCTATTAAAATTGTAACTATATCAATTGTTTTGTAGATTCCTGTGAACTCTTCTCCATACTAATGTCACCAGTGGAAAAGTTAATTTCTTAAGGTCAAAGATAAGTCACCTTTGAAAGCTTTAAGAAGGACATGTTGAGGCATTCTGTGAATCTAATTTATAGGATTCATCACAACCTCGTTTCTTTAAACATAGCCCAGGTACTCCATTTTATACCAGAAGTTAGGAACAGTGTTATTCTACTAAGACCACTAAGAATAAAAAGGGAATGGTAAGTATTAAAATACCCAATTAAAAAGCAGGTTTGAATTCAAAACATATAGCATATAGGTACAACAAGTAGGTTCTTCAAACACGAACATGATTCTAAGAGGAGGAAAAAAAAACAATCCAATCTTTATATTCACAGAAAAGGCCTCCCCACGGTTTACATCTTCCAAGCAAGGAATTCTATTACAAAACACTTCCACGAAGTTTTGAACAGAAATGTCCAGTTTGGAAAAAACATCCAGGCATTTCTAAGAAAGCACCACTCTGTCTTGCAGTGTTGACACTGTCTCAAACCAATATTAGCCTCACATTTTACCAACCGAAAGAAGTGAAGACTTACACATATAACCACGAGAATTGACAAAACCTCCAGGTGCGTGGAAAAAAGCACTGGTTTCTCCAGTGCCTGGCACCACTGAAGCAGGACACATGCTCTTGCTGCACGCGCCTTCATGTAGCAGCATTTTACGAGGACAAGGGAATAGGAGGTTTTTGAGGGCAGGGAGGCTGCTTTCCAACAGCAGCCCCACGGGCAGGCACTCGCATGCATGCACATACACAAGAAGGGGTCTAAAACCTCACATGAATTTCACCAATTTCCAGACTAGTTTGCTTTCTGCACAGTGACGTCTATATATTCCATAACCTGCTGTGATAACCTCACATTGTAGAATAACTGCAAAAATTATACCTCATGCCACACTGCATTTTTCTTCTGTGGTTTGAATGCTTTTACCCTAGAGTCCATAGAAGTGGAATCACAGTCTGCTTTGACTTAAGAGGACAGTTTTCTCCAGTCTAATTTCACATCCTCCAAGTAAATAGAGCAGCCATAACCTACCCACTACTGCTTTTTAATTCCTCCTTCTGTCTTATAGCTCATGATTCACTGTTCTAGTCAATTAAGTATCACTCTGTGTTCTTCTTAACAGCAGAACCCTAAGACTGCCATGACTTGTGTAATGCAAAAAGCACAGCGATATTCCATATCTCCTATACTTAGATTATCTTCTTTACCTTAAAAAATTCATAAATAATCATGGAAAAAATGTTTTGTGTTGCATCATTTGACTCTACTCTTCACAAGAAAAAATACCAAAAAGAAATAGAGCTCCTGAATTCTAGCCAAAAAATGTGATAAGTAACATGAAGGAAAATGAGAAAATAAGAAGTATTTTGGCGTAAAGGAAAGTCATATGTCAATCAAAAAGTGACCTATTATTTTTCTGTTGATTTAAAGTTCCAAGATATGTTGGAAGAGGGTAACTTGCACAGATTAATCCCCCGTCTCAGATAAAGGAGAAAAATAAATCTATTTATGCACATGTGATAAAGTTACAGCCACCTACTTAAGTCAAGTAAAATGATAACATGACTTTCAGCAAACAAAAAGTTTCATAGAAATAAAATACAGATAGTAATGAAAAAGGATATTTACTCTCCTACTAATTATTGTCGTAACTCACTTGCCTACGTCTCCTACTCCAGGAGATATAAATGAAGAAAAAATGTCCTTCAAGACAGTGGTAGTCAGACACACAAGCACGAAGTCAACACCATCACCCCCTGTTACCAATCTCCACAGCAGGCAAGTTTCAGTGCCAGAACACTGGATTTTTAAAGCCATTCAAGTTACAGGAGATACTACAGCTTAGCATCCCTGCTTGCTCATAAACTGTGGTATGGCCAAATAAAATCTATAAGATGAAAGACAGAAGCAGAAACATGTTCATGATGCGACTCACTTAAAAAAAATGTAATTTTGAATTATATTCCTTTAGAAGTACAAAGAACCATGGCAAGCAAAGTCAGTAGTACCGTTAAACCTGGAAAAGCTGTTTAAAGAGGTATAAGAGACAAAAAATAAAATCAACAAACCAACAGAAGGCCTGAAAAAATTAGATGGATCAGGGCAAGAAAGGCCCAACATCATGTGCACGGCGCACCACGTCCTTTCCATTGCACACCAAGAACCAAGACATGCCTGGCCCTGTACGAAAAGCAGCCAGTTCCATCTTGCTAGGACAGCTCGGAAGCCCATAGGAAAAGAACCAGGGATGAGGGTGCACTCATAATTGGGCAAAAGACAGTAATAAACAAGTGATAGCAAATCACGAAAAATAAAGTGACTGAAAAGAAAGTATCCCAAGACTAACTCAAGAGCAGGCGAATAAAATCCAAAGAGCAACTAACTGCCAGAGGGCAGGAAGAGGGAATTCAGCTGGATGCAGGGAAGCAGCAAGGGAGTGTGCAATAAACAATATGGTAGCTTGGAGAACCATTAATGAGAGACTAGGAGAGACTGGAGCTGAGGCTAATAAACCTCGAATGAACACGGGCTTTGGAAGAACAGGACTGAGCAGATCAGTGCGAATTGTTCCTTTGCTGTTATAGACAGCACTCTGGGCAACGGCAACGAAAACATAGTTAAAGCAATGAGGTCAGTAGAAGCGGCCACTGCCAGCGAGCGAAGCTCAGAAGGAGCTAGTGCTAAAATACACAGCAAACCAAAATGCAAAGATATTTGAAATGCCTGTATTTATACATGTAGATATACACGTATATATGCCACCCTCTCATCACACACAACCCTATCGCTGTCTTCTGAAACAGCGCATCAAAATCCAAAACCCACATCTTGTTGTCTTTCTAAATTTTCATAAGCTTTTTAGAACAGCAAATAAAGATGATCTTTATGTAATTTTCAGTATCATAGTTACAAGTGTAAAAAATATGTTCTATAGAAGAAAAAAGGCAAATCCAAAAACTTAACAACCTCAGTAGGTCCTCATTAAATTTCAGTGACAGATTTAGAGATTCTCAGTAAGACTACTCCTTGTGTACTGCATATCTGCATATACTCACCTAGACTTGTGTCTTTTGCCACATACATGCATTTCCCAAACCAAGATATGCAAAAAAGTGCCTGTTTTCAGATGTGTGTCCATTCAACAATGCTGATAGGTATCTGATTTACCAAAGGACACTAGGACCAGCTGAAGAAGCAAGCTACATGCAAAAAAGCTATACTTTAATACATAAATATTGAGACACACAGCATAACAGAGTAACTTGCAACTTGAAAGCTTTCTCAACCTACTCGAAGAACGGCTGAGGTTGGAAGGGACTTCTAGAGATCATCTAGTCTAGCTGCTCCAACAGGGACACCCAGAGCACATGGCACAGGGTCACATCCAGGCGGGTTTGGAAGATCCCCAGAGAAAGAGACTCCACAGTCTCTCTGGGCAGCCTGTTCCAGGACTCTGTCACCCTCACAGGAAAGGAGTTCTTCCTCAGATGGAGATGAAACTTCCTGTGTTTTAATTTGTACCTACTCCTTCATAACAGGAGTTTTTCCCTGGAATGTTCTGTCCTGTAAAGCTTGACCCGTTAGGAAATGACTGATTTACCATCACATACTTTCCAAGCAGGACTACAGATCTGGACAGTCAGATAGCTTCACAGTTTCTTCCCACCACCTTTTCCCACACAGTGACCCCACTGGTTAATGAAACGTGAAGATGAATCCAGGCTCCTCTTTCTGCTGCCTACTGCACCCCAGCCTGCT